TGGGAAAGCAGTGGAAGATGGACCCTGCACCCACATGGGAGACCTGGAGGAATCTCCTGGCTCCTGGCTTTGGATCGGCACAGCTCCGGCCATTGTAGCCATCTGGGGAGTGAATTGGCGGATGGAAGACCTCTCTCTGTCTCTGCCTCTCTGCCATTCTGCCTTTCAAATAAATAAATTGATTTTAAAAAAAAGAAATGCAAATTCTTGGGTCCCACCCCAAACCTACTAAATCAGAAACTCCAGGGTTAGGGCCACGTTGTCTGAACAAGCCCTCCTGGGGATGCTGAGTTACTTCCAGTTTGAAAGCACCTTTGAAAGTTCTGGGATTTTAGGCAAAAAGGGTTGTGTTTTCAAACTTGGTTAGTAGTTCATTCACATAAAAATAAATGCATAAAAATAAATATCTTTTGCATTTTTGTATTTTATTGTTTCTTTTTTTTTAAAGATTTTATTTATTTATTTGACAGGTAGAGTTACAGACAGTGAGAGAGAGAGACAGAGAGAAAGGTCTTCCTTCCGTTGGTTCACTCCCCAAATGGTCGCCATGGCCGGAGCTGCGGTGATCCAAAGCCAGGAGCCAGGAGCTTCCTCCTGGTCTCCCATGCGGGTGCAGGGGCCCAAACACTGGGCCATCCTCCACTGTCCTCCTGGGCCTCAGCAGGGAGCTGGACTGGAAGAGGAGCAGCCGGGACTAGAACCCGGTGCCCATATGCTATGCTGACACCGCTGGCAGAGAATTAACCAAGCGAGCCATGGCGCCGGCCCTTATTTTTTCATCAATTAAGGTTAAGAAAAGGATACATGTTTTCATATAACCTACTCAGGTTCCTGGTACAAAATGGCGGCTTAGTGTTTTTTCAAGTCATTTGAGTACATTGTCTCAATTTAATTGGCATTTCCTTTTTTTAAAAAAAATATTTATTTGAAAAGCAAAGTGATAGAGAGAGAGGGAAAGACAGAGAGACATCTTTCATCCAATGATTTGCTCACCAAATGGCTGCAATAGCAGGAGGCTAGGCCAGGCCGAAGCCAGGAGCTTGGAGCTCCATCCAGACTTCCCACGTGGGTGCAGGGGCCCAAGCACTTGGGACATCATCTGCTGCTTTCCCAGCACATTAGCAGGAAGCTATATCAGAAGCAGAGTATCCAAGACTTGAACTGGCACACATGTGGGATGCCAGCATCACAGAAACCAGCTTAACTTGCTGGGCCCCAACACCAGCCATTCATTGGCATTTTTATATATACTATATCAGTAACATAATCTAGTAGTTAATTCCATGGGTCTTAGACCCGCTTTTCAGTCCCAACTCTGTCACTAACTAGTTGATGGATCTTGGACATGTTACTGAAACCTTACTGAGCCTTACTATCTCATCTCTACAACGTGTTAATTATATACCTACTCCTCAGTATTGTTATGGGGATAAATAAGAAAAACGCATGCAAAGAGCTTAATATAGTCCCTTGTCATAGTAATTGCTTAGTAATGGCAGCTATTATTATTATAATGATTATTAGCATAACCATCATTACCATCATCATCATCATTTGTTCTCAAGGAGGATGGATGATTCATTTGGAGGCAAAATTGGCATAAATTTAAAACTGATAAGTAATATTTTTTAGCATTCCAAAGGTCATGATGACCATGAAAAACGTGTTTTCTCTGAGTGTTATTGCAATAGTTTCAGGATTTGGGGGAAGAGCTAAGCCTTAGAGAAATGTTTCCTAGGGCCCCCCACGGTCTGATTCACACTTCAACTTTTGCCTATGGTGGGTTTTCCCTCAAAAATATAAAAGTGCATCAGAACACAAAATTATCTCTGAAATACATTTTCGCACCTACCAGAGTACTTCGAAAAGTTCACAGAAATGTCATGAAAAGGGAAATTAATTTTGATGCAAACATTTTTGAAATCTGTGCATGTGAGGGCTTTTCAAAAAGTTCATGGTTAATGCGTATTATGAAAACAATTCTGCACTTGTTTCAAATTTTTTGCACCAAAACAAACATCTTTTAATTCTATTCTTCCAAGAACTTTTTGAGATGCTCTCATAGGTAGTTTTAAGGGATTTGCCTCTGACCTTCAAAAGCCTTGTAGCAGAAGGGGAAATGGAGACACTTTTGCCCCCACAAAGACTGTTTCAGTGAGTCCAGGGAATCTGGTTGAGATGATATAAGTCTTGCTTAATCTTCAAGTGTAGGAATTGGGACAAAATAGAGCAATCACTATTCTAAACAGGCAATGATACCCCCCCTTTTCCAGATGTCTTGTAAGAATCAGAGCGGAGCCCTGTGCAGTGCCCCCCTTTTCTCCCCACTTCCACTCAGGGAGCCAGGGAAAGTAGCCACACCTGGAGTGAGTTTGGGTGGCGGTGTCCCATGCAAATTCTCCTTTCAAGTCATTTTCAGAATTTCAGTGCTGCCAACTTTTATTAACAATTCTCCATATTTCTGTCATTGAGAGGAAAGGAGGAAACAGTCTCCCTGGTGGATTTCTTGTCGGAGAGGCAGAAGTATATTACAGCCTCTCCATTTTTGAAGTAAGCTACATTTCAAGAGATGAAACAAAGGTAACTCTTAACAGCTGCCAATATGTTTTCAGTCGTTATATCAAAGAAAGAGAAATAGCCACAAACCCTAAAGAAAGAAATCAGGCTTTATAATTTATTCAATTAGAACATGGGAAATGCTGGGCTAAGTCGACTTTGGCAAGCCAAGTGTTGTCGACAGACATAAATGCTTTCAGGAAGAAGCGTCTGAACAGCAAGAGCCTCTGGGGTCAAATTTGAAAGCCCTGAGGCTTAGCTGAGCTTCCAGACGCTCTAGCAAATGTTTGTGAATTGAAGAAAACTTATTCAGCTTTAGGAGCAGGAGCCCAAAGACTTTGGTCCTAAGTTCATTTTCCTGTAGAGTAGACAGAAAATAACTATTTTTTAACAAAATATACTAGGAAGCTTCCAAAGATCCCTGGGAAAATAGAATTAAAAGATAAAGTGCATTTTGCATGAACCTTTGGAAGCCCTCTCGTATTCTTGTCCTTTTGCAAGTCTACGAAAATAAAACCTATTTAAAATTCCACACTCGTGTAGATGTGGCCTTAGGGAAGACCCATTAGACACAGCAATGATTAATGCTCCCCTTGGAATCTTATTTGCTTCTTCAACTGATTGCTCATATAGAATCTTACTTACCAAGTACTTAAGTATTTAAGTGCCTTATCATTCTTGGAAATCACCATTCACCAGCCCAGCTCTGAGAGTGAGGAGAGGTGCATGCACACAGTGTTTCCGAAATGGGCAAAGCAGCTCACTTTCTCTCCAACTCTGCCCTACAAGACTGTCTTTACATTTGCCCCCACAGGTGAAAACAAAGCAAAAAATAACCATCACCACAACAACAATGAAAAACAAAACCACCAGCCCTGAAACTCTGCACCGAAGAGTATTAGCCCTTGCAATACAGGTGCCAGTAGGACATCTAAATATTGGGCATTCTGTGACCTTTAGAACCAGATTCAATCACATGGATATTAATGCTTGCAATCAGGGGAAAGAAGAGGAAAATGAATTGTTAATTGATTGTAATTTCTAAATGTCTGCTAGATGTCTCCCCTTTATATAGCACAATGAACTCAAGATGCTCCGAACCAAAATCTTTATTTATACCCCCCACAAAAGAATATTGTTCCAAGTTGCCCTATTTCTTTACACACCTCATTCAAAACCTCAGAGGCATCCCTAGCAGTTCCCTAAACCTCGTAAATACATTTACCAATATCACGTCATTTACCAATTTTTCTTAATAACTATTAGTGAATTCAACCTTCTCAATCTTTCCCTCATCTCTTCCCTCCTTCCTATTCTCATAAAATCCCATTGTTCAGGCCCCCAGTTTCACCCTCAGCATGGAATGCTTCTCCACTGGCCCCCAGCCTCTCATTTCCTCCCCCCTACCCCTGTAATCAGTCCTCCACATCACCACGAGAGAGCTTTCTAAAAACACAGGCTTGATCATGTCACTAAAAGCCTTAAATAATAAAAGAAAAGAGGTGAGAGGATAAAAGCTGAATGGGGTTATCAGAACTCATGCTTAGTGCTCAAAATGAACAATTATCCTGATTTTAAGTATACCCAAGTCATTTTCCTAAGAATCACAATTGTTACAGTGGAACTCCTTACTCCTATGATGTAGGCAAGGCCGTTATATCTATTTATGGCTATGTGGTTAAGGAGTATATTGTATGTGGTTGGATTTCCAGGAATTTTGTTTGATATGGTTTATCCAAACATATGCTGTGATGAATTCTAATATTTGCCGAACATTTACTGAGCACTTACTAGATGCCAGATGCTGTGCCATGCACTTGGGACACAAAGATGAATGTAACATGGTTACTGCTCTCACGAAACTTCATCTGACTTTCTGAAAGACAGCAAAGCCTTCAATATGTAGAATAAAGTTATCTGTACAATAAAGTCCAAACGGATTGTTATGAGACATAATGAAAGAAATATGTGTTGAATATTACTCTGAATAAGGACATTTACTAAGCCTCAGTCATGAAAACTTACCTGAACACCCCTGATGCTACTCACCAGCTGTGTGACCAAGGGTAACTTATTTCCAGAGTCCCACTAGGCTAACCCATAAAATGGTGAAAATAATAGTGTTTACCTGACAGCAAAACTGTAAGGATGAACGGTATTTCTGATGTGAAGGGCCTGGCCCATAATCAGTGTGAAATATGTCAGAGATACTATTGTTATCCTTTGAGAGTCTTTGTCAAGACATTTCTCTTCTAAATTATAAATGCATTTTTCAGGAGGAATCTGTGAAACCCATCCAGGATGAGGTTTGTTATGGGGTTTTCTACCAGTAAAAGTCCCCAAGGACAACATTGGGCACAAGATCTGGGTAAATAAATCAACTAGGGAAGCTTCGTATTGACCAAGTGTGTCTTGAGCCAGCTCTGTCGAGCCCAGATTCAGAGATGAGAGTCCTCCCCTCCAAAGGGTCTATAAAGGCCACCATCATGCCCAGTGATGACCAAGAGAAGCTCTGCAGCTGGCAGAAGCTCTCACTTGAGAAGGAGGATCCCTGGAGCTTCCTATGTGAAGAAGAGGCTGAGTTTGACACAGTGGGTCTGTGAAAATCAGTCTGAAATGCCCTAATTGCTCTCCACCAGTGAGCGTGAAGAGTCACATTAGTATTTAAAAATCATCCAAACAGCTAAGTGCTATGATTACTCTAAATCAACCTAATTTCTAAATCACTGGAGTAAATCCTTGTGGGATGTCACCATATAAACTTGAAAGAATTCAATAAAAGACAGGAAACAGCATGGGGATCTTATTGAGATGGCAATGCCTGGCACTGCCACATTCAACTGCCTTCTTCCGAGGTCTAATGCACTTCATTCAACGACATCAAGTGACCCCGGTTTGTGAGGTCAATATTTTTAAATAGAGTTCCTGTGCATCATTCATTTGACAAATATTTACTGAGCATGTGTTATGTGTCTTGGTGCTGGGAATACGGTGGTGAACAGCAAGTTTTAGCTCTCAAGAAGCTTATCTTGCAGAGATCTTAGACAATTGATTCACGAATAAAAATTTAATCTAGAGTGCTATCAGAAAACTAAAGCAATGTGTGAGGATGAAGAAATCGCAAGGGCTGGTACTGTGGCCCAGTGGGTTAAAGCTCCAGCCTGCTGTACCAGCATCTCATAAGGGCGTTGGTTTGAGTCCTGGCTGCTCCACTTCTGATCCAGCTCTCTGCTAATGTGCCTGGGAAGTAGTAGAAGATGACCCGTGTGCTTGGGCTTCTGCACCCACGTAGGAGACCCAGAAGAAGGTCCTGGCTCCTGGCTTCAGATCAACTCAGTCCCAGCTGTCGCAGCCATTTGGGGAGTGTACCAGAAGTTGGGAGACCTATCTGTCTCTACCTCTCTCTGTAGCTCTTTTAAATAAATAAAAATTAAATGTTAAAAAAATCCCAGGGCAGAATTGAGATGGTCAGTGTCTTCAACAAGCTGCTGCCATCTCTAAGGAGATGGTATCTGAGCAAGTAGCTGAAAGAAATGATGGAACAAGTCACAGGATCATCTGTGAAAAAGAGTGTGATAACCAGAGGAAACACCAATGAAAAAGGCCATAAGGAAGAAAGAATCTTGAGATTTTCAAGGATCAACCCACAGAATAAGGAGTAGGGCAATGGATGATAGCAAATGAGGTAGAGAGTTGGCTGGAGGTCAAATAAAGGAGGCTTTGGAAACTAAGCTAAGTACTTCAGATTTTATTCTGAGGGTGTTGGGGAGCTAAAGGAGGGTCTTGAGGAGTGACAGCATCAATTTTTTCTTGTAATGGATTTTAAATTAGATTTAAATTATGGTAAAATACACATAAGACTGACCATCTTAACCATTTTTAAGTGTTCAGTCCAGTAGCATTAAGTCTGTTCAAAATGTTGTACAGTAGTCATCACCATTCATCCTCAAAACTTTTTTATCATCCTAAAGTGAAACTGTATAAGCATTAAGCAATAACTCCCTATTCCACTCCCTCCATTCTCTCAAGTCCTACTTTCTGTTTGTATCAATTTGACTACTCTAGGAACCTCATATAAGTCATACAGTATTTATCCTACTACAATTGTTTTATTTCACTTAGAGTAATGTCTTTAGGGCTCATCAGTGTTAGGGCATATGATAGGATTTGTTTTTCCTTTCTCAGGTTGAGTAATATGCCATGGTATGTATTTACCACATTGCATGTGTCCATTCATTGATCAATGGACATTTGAGTTGTTTCCACTCTGTGAGTATTCCGAATAATGCTTCTAATCAACACAGGTATACAACGATTCTCACTTTAAAGGATGACTCTGACTACAGTGCTGACAGCACACAGCAATGTAAAGACTTGGAAGCTGGAGACCAGTTAGGAGTCTGGGTGAGATGAGAAGTCGTTAAATTCTGGTTTTATCTTGAAGTTAAGGGTGGCAAACTGGGCTCAAGCAGTGCACATTTTTCTGTGCTTTATTTCTTCCAGGCTAGCATCTGGTTTAGGGGGATTCACTTCTTTCAACTTCCTATGGAAAGCCAGTGCTGTGATCTGAACATGTCCTCCCAGATTCATGGATTGTAAATTTAATCCTCAATTCAACAGTGTTGAGACACCTAATGGGAGGTGTTTAGGTTGTGAAGATTCAACCCTTATAGATAGATCCATGCCATTATAAAAAGAAGCTGTGTTAGTGGGTTCACGTTCTGCTCTTCTGCCAAGTAAGGACACTGCATTCCTCTTCTCTGGAGACTGAAGCATTCAAGGTACTATCTTGGAAGCAGAGATTGGACCCTCATCAAACAATCAAATCTTTCAGTGACTTGATCTTGGACTTCCCAACATCCAGGATTGTGAGGGAATAAATTTTTGTTCTTTATAAATTACCCAGCCTGTAATATTCAGATATAAAATTAAGATAGTCAGCAAATAATGCTTCTAAAGAAATCTAGTTATTCATCTCTAGTGACATTGACAAAAGTGCTAAGTAATCTGTACACATTAGTCAGATAACTAGAAGTCAGAAGTATTGCTCAGGGTACTAGAATACACCAATAAAACACTGAAGTCTTTGGGGTAAAAAAAAAAAAAAGCCATGTAAGATATATTAGGATTTACTCTGCCTATTTGAAGAGAAGGCATTGAAAATATTTTAGGCGTTTGTGGGTTATTTGCTATTACAGTTCTGAAAGAGCAACCCTAGTACCAACAAAGGTGCATCATAACCTATGTCTTTAACGTTACTGAAGAGAGTTACATCCTCTTGCACTAAAGGGCCTCCATATTCTGTACTTCTGATAATCTTGAATTTCTCCCTGGGGGTTTTCTGTCTCCTCTGTTGCTAATGTGCCTGCAAATACTGCTCTTTTTCCTCTTCCTACAAGCTTGGAAAGCAGCATGCAATTCTGTACCTTCAGGTAGTAAGGAATTGATAAATGCTTGAAGAATGAAGACACAGAAATATGCATGTATCTTGGGTAAAAGAAAACTATTAACAGAAGGAGGGATTCATCGGTGTATAGTTTTGTGGTTGTTGTTTTGGGCCATCAAGGGATTCTTTGCTTATCTTCCTAGTTTTCATGTACATTCAGGGCAGAAGGGTCTGCCATATGATTGCACTCCACACAGTGGAGGATTTAGGCCCTTGGCAATTAATAACAGAGACCTGCTTGGGCCATGCATGTTAATCCCAGGATAGAGAAGCCACAAAATGAGAAATCTCTTCCTGTCTCATCTATTCTGGTCATACTCATACTGTAAAAACATGTGCAGTATTTTGAAAGCATCAACTGTTTGGCATCTGTTTTAGGGAAGTTCGCAAGCACATTCTCAATGACAAAAGTAGTGTGTTATTTTCTTTATTTTCTTGCCAAGAAGAAAAACCCACATTCTGAAACATAGACTATTTGAATGGGGTAATATTTAAACTAGAAGTACATGTGAAAGCTAAAGAATCTGAGAGCAAGAAGGGGCCCAGAGAAATGGGAGAAACAGGAAGACAGACAGATGTGGACATGAAGCTAGAGAATATCCTCACTATTACAGTTTACATTGCATGTTTCTTATGGAAGCATCTCTCAAGTGCTGTTTCCAGGATTCAGTTGGCATATGCAGGCTCACCTCTTATGAGGAATACAATTGATCTTCAAAACACTCATGAGAAATGGAAGTAAAAGATAAATTTACTTTGGTGCCAAAAATTTGAAATCCATGCATATGAGGCGTCTTCAAAACTGTATGGAAAATACGTATTATGAAAAAAAATTCTGCATGGATTTCAATTTTTCCATCAAAATGAATTTATCTTTTAACTTTATTGTCCACAAACTTTTTAAGATACCCTCTTATACCAGGGGAGATTTGAAATTGGCATTGACCCTACTGATTTAATTAATGTGGGGTATCTTTAAGAATGTTGAAAGTTGTGGCCAGTGCTGTGACATAGCAGGTAAAGCCACTGCCTGCTGCAGCAGCATTCTATCTGGCCCCTGGTTTGTGTCCCTGCTGCTCCACTTCCAATCCAGCTGCCTGCTAATATGGGAAAGCAGCCAAAGATGGCTCAAGTGCTTGTGCCCATGCACACATGTGGGAGACCCAGAAGAGGCTCATTGCTCATAGCTTCAAATTGGCCCAGCTCCAGCCATTTTAGCCATTTGGAGAGTGAACCAGCAGATGGAAGATCTCTGTTTCTGTCTGTCTGTCTCTCTCCCTCTCTCTCTGTAATTCTGCCTTTCAAATAAATAGATAAATCTTTTTTAAAAGAGAACATGAGGGGCCGGCGCTGTGGCGCATTGGGTTAATGCCCTGGCCTGAAGTGCTGGCATCCCCTGTGGGCACCGGTTCAAGACCCGACTGCTCCACTTCTGATCCAGCTCTCGCTATGGCTTGGGATGGCAGTGCAGGATGGCTCAAGTCCTTGGACCCCTGCACCCATGTGGGAGTTCCTGGCTCCTGGCTTTGGATTGGTGCAGCTCTGGCCATTACGGCCAATTGTGGAGTGAACCATCAGATGGAAGATCTCTTTCTCTCTCTGCCTCTCCTCTTTCTGTGTAACTCTGACTTTCAAATAAATAAATAAATAAATATTTTTAAAAACATGAAATATCACTGTAAGTCACACACAAATAAATAAATGAATATTTATTATTTATCTATCAGTAAATTATAACATCTAGCTTATACTGAATATTTACCATATGCCTTTCAGTGTGCTAAGTACTTTAATTATAATTAATTTAATTATCAACCAATCCTATAGAGTAGGTAGCATTATTTTTGCTGTTTAACAAATGAAAAAAAACTGAGGTTTGGGAAACGGCAGAGCTGGCATTTAAACCCAGGTTTGTCTGAAGCCAAAGTTAGTGCCCTTAAGTACTATACCATAACACATGCAAGAGAATCAGAAACCTTGGGTCTCTGCTAAGTGCTTAGAAGACTAAAGCTGAATTTAACCAAAAGGGTAGCACTATGCATATCCCAGAGGTCTCCAAAAGAGCTGATTCTTACACAGATGCAAAGCCTCATAGATGCCAGAAGAGGGTTTAGCAAATACGCTTGCTACTACCTAAAGCCTGGA